ACTTTATTTTATATGCCCATTTGCAATCGAGAATTAGAGTATTGGGTTGTGGTGGAACAAGAGTCCATATTGCTTGCTTCTGTAAAGCTGAGAATTCTATATCCATAGCTTATCTCCAGTGATTATGTTTAGATGCCTCTTGATATGTTTGGGGATCTTGAGGTTGAATGTCTATGGACTAATTGTGTTGATCTATAAGGTTAAGGATGGTTTTTTTGAGTCTTTTTATCATCGGGTGTGTTGGGGGTGGTGGTATGTTATTTGTTTGGGGTGGTGTTGTATTTTATTATGGTGTGGAGGTGTTTATTGCAAATCTGTTTTCATGGTTTATGATTTTGATGATAGCAAACACTCTTATTTATCTACGACTACCTTGTCTACTGACATTTCAGGTTCACAAGATCAAGACTGCAATTTGGAATCAGCTCAAGATTGGGTAGACTAGGTCTGAGTCAATTTGTACCCTTTTTCCTTCCTTGAGTCTTTTGTAATTGGTGTGGCTCCTGAAGCTATGTAACTTTGCACATACGCACCTTGGAAGATTTTTTGAATGTTCCCTAGAGTTTACTATTTTGGTAACATCGTTCGGGATTATATCTATATCGGCCTGGACGATTGGGTCAAAAATAGAAACCCTAATTAAGGCATCCTCATTAAGGGACCCGTCATTAAGCCGATCGGCCTGGACGATTTTGTATTGGCCAGGACGATAGGCTCAATTAAGAAAGAATCAGCCGCTATAATCAATTTAGGTATTCTTTATTTTAGAAAATCGGCTAGGACGATATCCACATCGTCTTGGACGATCTAACTCAATTATGCCTAAATTAATCTGGCATCTTTGGAAAGCATTAAAGGCTAATTGATTCAATCACATCGTCCTGGATGATCACAGGATCGGCCGGGATGATATCGTGGACAATTGTCATCAGCCAGCTTTGATTTAGGGTGATGATTAAGACGACTGTATTCGATTTTGAATTAATTGGCCAGGATGATATTTCATCGGCTTGGACAATGTAACCAATTTTCTTCTGATCGTCCCAAATCGTCCCATACTGATTAAGCTTAATTTGTACTGATCGGCCAGGACGATAATTCTATCGGCCTGGACGATAATGTCGGCAAGTTGCATTAATGAGCTCATTTTGATATCTTCTATTTAAGCTTTTGACAAGGCACTTGTGTAAGTGTCTTTGGCAGCCATTGTTCGCTCTTTTGGGGGAACTTGAAGAGAAAGCTTGAAAGGGAGTGAGGAACAGGTGAAGTCTGAGAGAGGGAGAATATCATGTGAGGGGGGGCTCAAGGGAGTGTGGAGGGGGATTCCACATGGTTGCTCCGACAGGCTTGCACCTTAATACCGTCGGATTCAAGGCTTATCTTGAGGGAAGTTCACAGAAGAAGAAGATCTCTTTGGTGTCAAAGGACCCGGCGACTTCGCCGCACCGGAGAAGGTGGAAGTGATTTTGTAAGGCCTTCTCCGCCTAGCTGTGGAGGCTAAAGGAGAGACACTTAGTTTAGTGCAATACTTAGAGGGTGCCTCCAAGGAGTGAACGTAGGTCAAGGTTTGACCGAACCACTATAAATCTCGTGTGTTATTTTCTTTGTTGATTCCGCATTTAATTTTCGCACTTTGATTTTCATTGTGGTGAATCTTGGTTTGTGTTTTTGATCGAATGATTTATTTTAAATATCTATTCACCTCTTTCTCTTAATTAGCCTTGGGCCGGTTCATAGGGCCTAACATTCCTAACGAATTTTCTAGTGCCATCAGAGCACTTTTAGTGTTAACAAGTGTGTTTTCATGGGCTAGAATGTTTTGTGGTTCAGGTTGATAATTGAAAGGTATATGGTTTGTTTGAGTTGTGGGTGTAAGAAGCGTGGGATTGTCTGTTATGGTAGTTTGGGATGTCATATTTGGCAATGTTTGAGTGAATGGAAACGTAGTTTCATGAAATGTGACATTTCTGGAAATGATAATGCATTTTGTTATTGGGTTGAGGTACTTGTATCCTTTATGGGATGTTGAGTATCCTAGAAAAATAGATGGGATAGCTTTTGGGGCCAATTTGTGTCTATTTTGTGGGGGAATCCATGGGTAACATGCACAACCAAATATTTTTTATGTGAGAGTAGTCACAAGTTTTGTTCTGTAGCAGGTGCAATGGAGTTTTATTTTGGTTTGTGTGTGAAGGACGTCTGTTAATAAGATAAGATGTTGTGAGAACTGCATCTGGCCAATAGGGATATGGTACTGAGGCTATTTGTAGTAGAGTTCTTGTTGTTTCAATAAGGTGCCTATGTTTTCTTTCTACAACTCTATTTTGTTTAGGAGTGTATGGGCATGAAATTTGGTAAAAAATGCCATGTTTTTTGTAGTGTTGTTGCATTGTTTTGTTTACAAATTCAGTCCCTCCAATTGGCCAAAATTGTTTGATTTTGTATGGTAACTATTTTTCTATCATAGTAAGAAATGTGATAAAGATAAAAGGTACTTCATACTTGCAATACATGGGAAATATCCATATGAATCAAGAGTAATCATATATGAAAATGCATAGTATCTCAAACCTTGGTTTGAAGTAATTGGGGCAGAGGCCCATACATCCGAATGCACTAGTTCAAGGGGGATTTTAGCTCTGGAGTTAGAAGTGGGAAATTTTAGTTTGTGGGTTTTGGCTATTCTACAAGAAGAACATAATGCAGAAAATATAGGTATGTGAAGTTGTTTATTGATAGTGGAGATAGTTGCCATAGTTCTAGTGTTGGGGTGACCTAGTCTGTTATGCCATATAGTTTCATCTTGGTGATTGTGGAATGCAGATAATGCTTGTGGTTGAGATATGCTGGGACGGGTTGGTACTAGATATAGGGCTTTTATAGTTGGGACCCTGAAGCAATTTTTTGTTTGTCTTGATATCCTTTACATGAAAACCGTGAGTATAAAATGAGATAGAGATGTTATTGTCTCTAGTTAGATGATAAATTGAAAGTAGGTTGTGAGAGAGAGTAGGTAAGTGGAGAATTTTAGGTAGTTGAAGCTTACTAGTTGGAGTTGGTAAAATGTCTGCTCCGGTGTGAGCTATAGGTAATATACTTCCATCTCCAATGAATATGTTATTTGTATCATGGTATGGTTGTGGGTCACTAAGAGTAAGATTATTGATGTCATTTGTAAGGTGGGATGTTGCACCTGAGCCCAAGTACCAATCTGGGTTGATACTGTCATTTGTGGCTGTAAATGCAACATTTACTTTCTGCTGTGATGGTGTGTAGTTTATGTTAAATTTGTGTCAGCATGTTGCCGCTGAATGACCCTTCTTATTGCATATCTGGCATATAGATGTTGGTATTGGTTGATCTGTGTTGTTATTGGGATGGGTATTTTGTTGTGTGAATCTCCCTCTGCCTCTTCTTCCTCTACCTCTTGTAGAGTATAAAGCAGTATTTTGATCGGGTATGTTGTGATGTCTGGTTGCTTCTGCGTTGAGATTAACCTCTTCGCTGATCAAGAATGCATATAAGTCATCAAGACTTAATGGTTGTACCATGGTTCTTATTGTGCTTTTGAAAGATTGATAAGTTGTTGGTAATCCATTGAGTGTGTAAAGAATTATGTCTTCTTTGTCTATTGCGGCTCTTGTTGCTACTATACCAATGTTTTCAGTTCATTTAGGTATTCTGCCATTGTGTTTTGTTTCATTTAAACATTATGTAACTCATTTTTGAGTTGGATTACACGTGATCTGTTAGTAGATTGCAATCTTCTTTCAACTGTGGTCCATATGACTGCTGAGGAGTCAAGATTAAGAACATACGGTAGTATGGCTGGGGTTATGGTAGAGCATAGTGCGGTTGCTAAGTTCTGATCATTAAGACTCATTCGGTATATTTGGGGTTTGTAATGGTTTGACCATTAGGTGTTTGTTGAAGACTGAATGGAGGTGAAATTGTGGGATCTATGAAGTTTGTAAATCCATTAGCTCTGAGAAGTTTGGTTACCTGAGATCGCCATATGGCATAGTGCTAACATGATAACTCGGTAGGAACGATGGTTTTGATATTTGCAATGACAAATTTTAGTGATTCATGTATTGTGCAGGAGTTGATTTGCGGATCTATAGATGGATTCTCTGTCTGGGATGAGGATGATTGAGCCATGAGAAGTTTTTCAAGAAGTTCTTACCTCTCGCTTCAATCTTCAGTCTTCGCTGAGTTCGTGCTTTGATACCATAAAGAAAACGACAAGAAGAAGATAATGAGGGCAGTGAAACTCAATCTTTATTTCACTCTTACTATTATCTTATGCACAAGTCCTATTTATACATTTCCTAAGTTAAAACATGTGGTTCTGGTAACATGTGTCTGTTTCGATTGTGTGGTTGTAATTGAGTATGACATGTGCTCTGTTTTATTTATTTCGGCTGAATTTGTTCTGTGTTCTTTTACATATATTGGTAAATGTCATCACGAAGAAAAGAAAAGTGAGTCTAATCCATTTATCTTAGCAGGTAGAAAACACATGAATATTAGAAAAGAATTGAAAGAGGAGATTTCCTTGTATAGCTTTCCAAACAAAAATGCAAGAAGAAAATAATGGGGAGGTAAGGAAAACCAGTAGAAGTAGAAGGAAGGGAGGAGGAAAGAAAAGGAGACGATGATAATAACATAAACAACCATATTATATATAATTTTTTTTCATGCTTGTTTCATGCTTAAAATTGAAATTATTTCATTGAATTCCATTTTAGGGAAAGCATGCATTCCATAGAACTTGCTTCCTACATACTCTATCTTGACTATCCACTTGTAAAGTAACGTCATCTCAAAAAAATCACATTTATTCAATCATCAAAGGGTAAGGAAATCAGAAGAAGGAATGAGAATAATAGAAGAAGAAGAAAGGGGAATAAGAAGGAAGAATAAGAAATGGAATGGAAGGAGGATAAGAAAAAGAAAAAAAAAAAAAAGAAGGAGACTGAGGAAATGAGGAAAGTTACCTTGCCAACAGATAGCTATTTAAAGTATCTGTTTTGGCATTTCTAATTCTTCTGATGATCATATATGTTCTGTTGATGGAATATCTCTTCTTCATGATTTTTTGTCTGAGTTGTGAGAATTAAAGCTAGTCGGAGAGGGGGAGAGGGTCTTCGACTTCTGCTCATAAAACCAGGAAAGCCGCAGGAGGAAGGGGGCTGCGGCTCCTTACTTCTTTGAAGAGAGAGAGAGAGAGAGAGAGAGAGAGAGAGAGAGATCCATCGTCTGGCTGTGCGAAATCGATAGAGAGATCGAGAGGGAGAGTGTTCGGTCCCTATTAGAGCATGCGAATGCCTGGACAGGAAGGAATGTGAGAGGCCTTTTTTCCTTCTAGTGCGAATCCGGAGGCTTCTAGCGTCAAATCCCTCGAGCAAATCCTTCGCCGAAGATTTCTATCGCATTCCTCGGAGTTCCGCTCTGCTTCGAAGCTTAAAAAATGACATTGTGCTGCTCAAAATTTTATCGGTGAAAATGAGATATGCACTGAAATGAGTAGTCACGCGACTAAGGTACTGTGACAGCATTACGTTTCAGGTTTTGGAAAATTTTACACGGTAGTTTGCATTTGATTTTTATTTGGGAACATATTCAAACTCATTAAAAAGTCAATTAAGTTTTAATAGGAGTTAAATTAAATCTATTGAGCTGAAATCAGATTCAAATCAAAACTAATATAATCCGATTCGGATAAATTTTTGTTCGACTCGACTCAGCCAAGTTAATTCAACAAAAATCAAACCCGAATTGACAACGATTCGGATCGAATCGAGCTCAACAACACTCGATCAACTCGGTCGAGCATGCTTGATGGCAAATTGGCAAAAATCAAGATCAACAGTAGGGAGGTGCAGGATATGTAAGTTCATATTTCTTTTAAATAATATAGGTAAGGACGTTACCAAGGGAGATATTTTGCTTTCTGTTAGTTTTGGGAAGTCAAATGGGGGTCATGTTTGGATAAAATTGATAATTATTTGTGCTTCATCAAGTTGGATATCATACATGATCCTGTAGGTGGCATAGGAAAGAAGTTGAGTAATATTGACACAATCTCTAGCATTTGGTATGATTGAGGTTTGAAGAACATGCTGGATAACATGTCTATTTTGGTTTAAAGAGTGGACTAAAGGTTGTTGTTGATTCAGGGTGACATTCCGGATAGTAAGATTTACTGCACTCCAATCAAAATTAATCCTAGAGGCCCTGGATTATGGTTGAGGTCCTTCTGTGGAAAGATGGATGTATTCCCCTAAATCCTCTTTAGTGATTTAAACATGACGACGACATACAGAGGAAGTCATAATGGGTGCAGTGGCACTAATCCTAAGGTTTACAAGGAATTTGTATCGGAGTTTAGAGTTGAAGGGACACACAAGACTGGGAAAGAAATGAAGAGTAGTGGAGGCAAAAAGATTCATTACCTCGAAGTTAAGTGCGTGTTGAATTAGCATTCTAGAGGGGGTGATATGAGCTTCCTTGTATCTATAGTATGTGGATTCATTTTTAGCGAATTGAAATTAATTATCAGCTGACCAATAAGAGTAAGGTCATCCTTGGGTCATTATACCTTATTTGGTACCACCAGCTATTTGAATATGAATGGTGTGAGGGTAGGATTTGATAGAAGAGAGGAATTCAAGGTTGAGTGTATTGAACTAAGGAAATCACTCCAATTTATAGAATTTTTAGGTAATCAAACAATATAATTTTAGTTCAAATAGAATGATCAGGAGGAGTTAAATTGTCTTGATGACTTTGAAAAATGGCGGTCAAATTGTACACTACAATCAATATTATATTGGACAATATTAAGATATTTGGTTAATCTCGAGTTGTCTGTATGCTTTTTGACTAAATGGATCATACATTATAAATAGTTGTTTGTACAGTATGAAGTAGAGTTATTATTGTACTAACCGACTTGAATTTATCCAATAGCCTTTCACACACGTATCGTATAATATGAAGGAATGTTCGTACAATATGATTGCCAATAATTGGGCAAATCTAGATCATTGATTTAATTAAGAGTAGATATTTGTGTAGGGAAGTGTAGATCACACAGTACGAGTGAATCGTATAATATGATGTGAATAAATTTTGAGTTTAATTTTTTTTTTTAAGCCAGTGGATAGTGTGTGATGATCTGGGTACATCTGCTAAACAATAATAAAAAGAAAATGAAAAAAAAAACAACCTACACAAAAAAACCACAAATTCAAAAAGTCATAAACTTAAATCACAAATAAAGTAATGGTTGATTTCAAATGATATAATGATTTAGATTCATCCTAACTCAAGTATGAATGTCAATAATATATAATCTAGTCCTCAAGGTACCAAAGGTCTCATAGGCTAGTTGTTTGGAAATGATGTGTCTCCAGTAGTTATATGATGTTGTTCTATATCTCCCTTAGCTACATAATCTCTTACAAAATGATGCCTATTATCTATATTATTTTTGTTGGAGTGTTGAATTGGATTTTTGGATATGTAAACAACACTAGTGTTATCACAGATTATAGGGATTATGCATATAGGTAGTCAAAGATCTAATATTTATTGCTTTAGCTATAAGACTTGAGCAACACAGCTTCCTACACTAATATATTCTGCCTCAGCAATGGATAGATCTTTTGAATTTTACTTTTTACTAGACCAGGAAACTAGTGGTTTACCTATAAAATCACAGGTTCCTGATGTGCTTTTCATATCTACCTTACATCCTACAAAGTTGGAGTTTAAATATCCTTTGATCTCAACACATGAGTTATTTCTAATGTGTCATATACCTAGGTTTTTGGTGCCTAATAGGTATCTAAGGATTCTTTTAATAGCAATTATGAGAGATTCTTTTACATTAACCTAAAATCTAGTACATAAACATACACTGAAAATTATATCGGTTCAACTAGCAATCAAATAATGAAGTGATCCAATTATCCCTTTATATTTCTTATGATTATTTGATTTTTTATTTGGATCCTTATCTAATTGAATAATAAAGCTCATGGGAGTATTCGTTACCTTAGCATTATCCATATCATATTTCTTAAAAACATCTTTGATATATTTTGAATTACTAAGGAAGGTTCCGTCATCCCTTTGCTTCTAACTAAATCATAGGAAATAATTGAGCTCTCCTATCATGCTTATATCAAATTCATCACTCATTGTGTTTAAAATTCATAATAAAGATTTATATTCGTGGATCCAAGAAATACATCATTGACATAAATTTGAATAATGAGTATATCTTCTCCTACTTTTATAAGGAATAAGGTTGTGTCTATACTATCCTTAACTAAGGCTCTTTCTAAGAGGAATGTGCTTTGCCTTTCTTACCAAGCTCTGGGTACTTACTTTAATCTATATAATGCCTTTTTTAGCTTGAACACATGATTGAGAAATTGGGAGTTTATAAAACCTGAGGGTCTCTATACATACACATCTTTTTTAATCACCCCATTTACAAAGACACTTTTGACATCCATTTTATACAAATTGAACCCTTTAAAGCAAGCAAAATCTAGTAGCACCTTAATATCTTCTAGTCTAGCTACATGGTCCAATGTTTCATAAAAAATATATTCCTTCAATCTGATTGTACCGCTTAGCTACTAACCTGGCCTTATTCCTCACCATTATACCAGAGTCATTCATTTTATTTTTGAAAACCCACTTAGTAACTACCATACTCTTGTCATTAAGTCTTCTAACCAATTCACATACATCATTTCTAACAAATTAATTTAGCGCTTATTACATTACTTGGACACCGGATTCATTAGCTAGGGCTTGATTTATGTTAGTGGGCTATATCATGGAAATTAATGTTGAATGCCTAACATCCTTTTTAAGCACATTCCTAGTTCAAACACCTTTAGATGGGTCTCCTATGATAAGTTCTCTAGGATGACTTTGAGGCAAGGTCTCTTAAGGTTCTAATATATCACCAAAGTCAATGGCTTTTACCCCTTGGATGACCTCTACTTCTTTGTCTTCTTGCCTATATTCAAAGGTTCAATTAGATTCATCAAATACAATATGGTTAGATTCTTTTACTATAAAGTTTCTCTTTTTGAAAATTCTATAGGCCTTACCTACATATGAATAATCTAAGAAGACTCCATCAAATTTGGGATCAAATTTCCTAAAAGTGATTTTCCATTGATAAGGATAAAATATTTATATCTAATGACATATAAGTGAGAAAGGTTGGTGTCCTACCCTTAAGGAGTATATAGGGTGTCTTAACTTTGGATCTAATATTCACCTTATTTAAAAACATAACAATCAGTATTTACTTCTGCCCAAAAGTATCTTGGGAGAGAACATTTAGCTAACTTGGCCATAGTAGCTTCTACTAAAGTTCCATTTTTTCTTTCAGCTATTTCATTTTGTTAAGGGGTCAAAGCAGTAGAAAAGTTATGTTCTATTCCTATCTCTTTACAATAGGATTCATAATTTTAATTCTCAAACTCTCCATCATGATCACTATATATGATTAATATTTCAAAACCTAAATTTTTTTTATATCTTGGGAGAGAAGGTTCTAAATTCCTTAAATTATTTAATCTTTTATACTAGGAATCTAACCAAGCTAAATATAAAGTAGTCATTAATGATTACAAATGCATATGATTTCCCTCCTAGGATGGTTGTACAAATGGGTCCAAATAAGTCCATATGAAGAATTCCTAGTGGCCTAGAGGTGTTGATGTCTTTGATTGAATGAAATGAAGACTTAGCTTATTTTCCAAGTTGGCAGGCATTACATAGGTAGTTCTTAGTGAAATCTAACTTGGGAATGCCTCTAACTAGGTCTTTTTGGGTAATTTTCCTTAGTGTCTTCATACCTTCATGACATAGTCTACAATACTATAGCTAGGATTCATTAATAATAGTTTTCAAATATAGGGAATTAGAACTTTCAATACAATTTAAATCAAGAACATATACATTCTTTATTCCTTTTCTTTCTAAAACTAATTTACCATTAAAGCTAATCATGCATTTTGTAGATAAAAATTTTATATCAAAACCCTTGTCACATAATTGGCTAAATTATACTTTAGACCATCAACTAATAAGACATTTTCAATTATAAAATTTTTAGAGTTATCAATTATACATGAGCCAACTACTTTTATAGTGTACTAGATGAAAACTCATGACTAATTAGTAATTAAAAGGTAGATGAACCTATTGCCTCTTCTTCTATAGATGTCATTCAGGTAAATATTCATAATAGTAAAGTTCTTCCATGGTAAATATCAATTATAGATATCGAAATATAAGTCATATATAGTCCTAAAAGGTCAAATCAATCTAAATCATTATAATCTCAAGATGTATCTAACACATAAAACTTAAAAGTATATTGT